GCTTAGGGATTTCAAACTCTCTCCCTTGTGTTTTGATCTCTGTCCCTTGTGTATATTTCAATATGTCTTTGATAGGAACACGTTTTCATAGACATCTTTTATAGAAATACATTTTTACTATGTATATGTTATGGAATTTTGTTATCATGTTTATGATGTGTGCCTGCAGTGCCTCAGGGAGGAAGGAAGCAGTTCTTCTCGGGATGATGATGATGGGAATCCCTTCCCAGGCAGACCTGATGGGAGTGAGAGTGTTTCCCATGAAAGGCAGCCAGAGGCTTGGCCTGACCCTGGGAGTGATGCCGGGCAGCGGGGAGGGGATGGGGGCTTGCCCATCTCAGCGCCTCCGGTTAAGGCGAGATCATGCTAGATACAGGTAAAAGTTGTCCCCTGACATGAAGTCCAGTCGTGTCCAACTCTGGGCATTGGTGCTCATCTCCATTTCCAAGCCAAAGAGCTGGCGTTGTCCATAGACACCCCTTAAAGGTCATGTGGCCAGCATGACTGCATGGAACGCCGATCCCTTCCCACCGGAGCAGTACCTATTGATCTACTAACATTTACATATTTTCAAACTGATAGGTTGACAGAAACTGGGGCTGACAGCGGAAGCTCACACCGCAACCCAGATTCGAACCTGCAACCTTTGAGTCAACAAGTTTAGCAGCTCAGTGGTTTAACCCACTGTGCCACTGAGGACCCCTAAGATAATGCTAGGCAGAGGCCACCTGTCACATCAGCACTTTTAACCTGTACCCATTACATTAGCCTGGCCCTGTGTTTTGTGTTTTTGGTGTACTGTTTTATTGTTTTGTTGTTTGATATTGCTTTAATTGCTTTGATTTGTTTTAAGTTGTGTATTTTGTTATGCTATGTTTTTATTGAGGCCTTGGCCTATGTAAGCCGCATCGAGTCCTTCGGGAGATGCTAGCAGGGTACAAATAAAGTTAATAATAATAATATAATAATAAGAAGAGTGTCAGAGATAACAAAGAAATGTCAAGTGATAGAGCCTTAGTGTCCCCTCAGAAAGGAGTATTTATTTATTTACGAAATTTCATGCCACCCTTCTCTATTATAAGGTATATATACATACAATATATTATATTATTAGCATATCAGTATTAAATATTATTATATTTTACTATACCATTATTTTGTAATATTATTAATAATATAACATGTAATAAAATATATAATAATATATTAGTAGTAATAGTATTATATTGCATTACATTACAATATTATAAATATTATATGTATATACAATATATTGTATTACATTATATTATTATATTAGACTAGCACAGGACGCAAGGTGGAGCTGGCCCCTCCTCCCCCCCTTCACTCTGGCCCAGAGTGGCACTTGGTGCTGGGGGGGGGGGGAGGGGTGTAAGAGTAGGTCTCTTAAGTCAGCTTCCCGAGTTATTCTTTGTGATAGCAACTTTGCATATTTAGAGGACGTTATCCTGTTTACATGAGGATAGAAGAATTCAGGTCTTGCTTTCATGTCATGTTCCCTGGTTTGGAATTAGAGGGTCATGTAGGGGCAAAGAAACCAAAATATTTCTCAAAAAGGCAGAAGCCCCCTTTCCAATTGGGAGGGCAAGGATGGACATCACGAAAGTTGAATCTTTTAAACTGCAAAAAACTATTTATTGCGTGGCCATAGCAATAACGACAAACAAGCATACAGGGGTGCAATCAAAGGGTTTGTCTCCACCCCCAATCGGGCTGCAGAGCTTCTCTAGTAAATGGAATATACATTTTCCTTGGTTCCCAAAGACAAATCATTTCATTGGTCTAAGCTAGCTTTACAGTTGTTCATTTGTTGTTTATGATTTTGATTGACATTATAGCACACGTGGGATCCTAACAATGACACAACTATAACATAACTATAGTCCATTGTTTTCTGACCATGACTGTATCTTATCCGTTAGTCTGTTGCAAACATGGCTTCAGAGCGACTGGGAAATTGGGGGTTCTAACTGGCCAACAGCTAGCTGGTATACTGTTATCCTTGAATAGTAACTTCTTCTTTGGAGCTCTGATTTCGCAAACAATCAGCATTTTCTGTAAACATAGGCCTACTGCAGAAATAGGTCAATATGGCAGTAAATCATGATATATGGGCATTGGGAACATCTCTGAAAATTCCCTTTTTAAAATCACGTCCCCTCTAGTCGCGTTTTGGATATAGTTCTTGATCTAAGTTCTGTGGTTCTCTGGTTTTATTTTCCATACTGACCTGTGTGGTTTTCTGCATTACGAATATTACGACTGTAACCTGAATTTTGGAATGTTCCTTGAAATCAGTATTCCTTCCCACTCCCACACCCATCTCTTCCTTTCCCTCTCCTCACACCCAAGCCGCCACCCCCACAGCCAAGCCCATCCCTTCCCACTCCCCATACCCAAACCCCCCTCCATCCCATTCTACACACCCGAGCCCCCTCCTTCCCACTCCCCACAACCAATTATATGTGAAGATCTCAGACTTTGAACACTGAGCAGGGCAAAACAAAACAATATTCACCCAAAGAATTGATGTTCGACTGGGCCACCACCAAAATTAAAAAGGGTCAATTGCGGTTTAACTGGAGAACGCTGAAGCAAAATGGAGTAGTCTGAATTCAAACTCAGGGCACTGAATACTGAGGGTCTAAATACCAAGGTCTGCCACCAAATTCAAAATACGCTTCCCCAGTCTAGGGTATGGGGATTCTTGACCAGAGAGGCACACAGAGGCAGTGTTTCATTAACAATAAAGAATGTTGTTTATTTCAACATTCAGAACAGGCAACAAATTGTGATGGTTACAGCAGTGTAAGGAGCTTAATGGTTACATAGGAGGACAGTTCAATGCTTCAAAACTTCAGGTTATGGTTTAACTTTCAAAATTCGCAGGAATCTAGTAATCTTACAGTAACTAGATCCCAATTCTCAAACAGCCCTATCCCCGGGATCTGTTTTTAACCACTATAAAACTATTCTTCCTTAACTGTTCACTGAACATCTCTAAACTCACTCCTGGCTTCAAAATTCCCAACCACTAACTTTTCCTCCCTTCCTCCGACTCCTTTTCCCCAACTGCCTTTTTCTAACTGTCAGAATTCAAAACTCCAAGGTTCCTTTTGTTTCTCCACTCGGCCAACCTCCGCCCACTTACTCCCAGCCAACAAAATGGTTTTCCACATTTCCCCCCAGGCTGCCTACAAGCTCCGCCCCTTCTGGGAAATGCCTTCACCTAAAATGGCTTCCATTGGAATGGATGCCAAACGACTGGGCCTATTCTACCTCTGGTCTTCTATGGTAAGGAAATCCGTTACATCATGCAAGAGGACGGTGCGTCTGAGTAAAGGACCTTCCTTCCCTCCTTCTTTTCCTTCTTTCCCTCCTTCCCTCCTTTCACTGCTTCCTTATCTTCATTCCTTTCCTTCTTCCTCCCTTTCTTTCCTTTCCCTTCCTTCCCTTCCCTCCCTCTCCTTCCCTCCCTTCCCTCCTTCCTTCCCTCTTCCCTTCCTTTCCTTTTTTCCATCCTTCCCTCCCTCACTTCATTTTTCCTTCCTTCCTATCCCTCCCTCTTTCCTTCTACCTTTCCTTCTTTCCCTCCCTCCTCCCTCTCTTCCTTCCTTTCACGTTTCTCCCTTTCCTTCCTTTCATTCCTTCCTCCCTTTCTTTCCTTCCCCTTCCTTTCCTTCCCTCCCTCCTTCTCCTTCCTTCCTTCCTCTTCTTTCCTTCCTCCCTCCCCTTCCTTCCTTCCCTTTCTCCCTTTCCTTCCTTACTTCCTTCTCCCTTTTCCTTCCCTTCCTTCCTCCTCCTTCCTTCCCTCCTTTCTTCCTTCCTTCTTTCCCTTTCTTCCCTTACTTCCATTTTCCTTCCTTCTTGTCGCTCTCCTTTCCTTCTTCCTCTCCTTTCTCTTCCCTCCTCCTTCCCTCCTTCTTCTCACTTTCCCTTTCTTCCTTCATCCTTCCTCCCTTTCTTTCTTTCCCCTTCCTTTCCCTCCCTCCCTCCTTCTCTCCCTTTCCTCCTTCCTGTTCCCCCTTGCTTCCTTCTTCCTTTCCTTCTTTCCCTCCCTTCCTTCCCTTCTTCCTCCCTTTCCTTCCTTCCTTCCTCCCATTCTTTCTCTCCCTCCCTTCTTTCATCCCTTCACAGCTTCTCTCTTTTTTCTGTGGCTCCTTCTTGTTCAACTCCTGCCTTCTTTCCTCCCTTCATGGTTTCTCCCCCATTATAATAATTACACGTTGTCTTTGTGATTAATCACTATATTTTAATTAAGTTCAATGTGTAACGATGAAAATACATCCTGCATATCAGATGTTTACATTACGATATCGTAACAGTAGCAAAATTACAGTTATGAAGTAACAATGAAAATAATAGTATAGTTGGGGGTCACCACAACATGAGGAACTGTAATAGCAGTAGCTGCTGCATTTCCCACCCTCGGCTTATACTCGAGTCAATAAGTTTTCCCAGTTTTTGTACTAAAATTAGGTGCCTCGGATAATATTCAGGTCAGCTTATACTCGAGTATATATGCCATGTTGAGATCTTTTTATTCCTTGTTTATATCTTGATTGCTATGTGTCTGTTCTCTGCACTGAATGTTTGCCATTTTTGTTATTCCTTGGAAACCGCCCTGAGTCCCCTCAGAGAGAGAGGGCGGGTTATAAAGAAAGTGTTGTTGTTGTTATATTTCTTTATGCCCTACTTTATCTCTCCATAGGGAGATAAAAATTAGAAGGAGTCCTCTTTTCTTTCTATCATTCATTCTTTTCGTTCTCCGTCCCTTTTCTTTTTTATTTTCTGAATTCATTCCCTTATAGTTTAAGCATCCGTGATTGCCTTGACTGGCATCAGTGTATGCGCTTGAGACTCTGCATTTCTTGGTATTCCCTTTTTCAACCTGACTCTTGAAGGGAAAGGAGGAAAATCTTGCAGGTAAAGAAGGTTTCCGCCTGTCTTCACTGATCTTTTGCTTCTTTCTTCCCCAGGGAAATGAGGATTCTATGGAGCCACCTCTTGGGTGCAGTAAGGAAACCAATAAAATAGGAAGAAGGAATAATCCAAGGTGATGCTCTTGCTGAATTCTTGACTTCACTCACAGATAAGAAAGAGAAAAAGTAGTGCCAAGTATCTGTATTGCAACCATATCACTGTTCACATGGAGGAGAAAGCATTTAAATGCCTGGAGTGCGGAAAGAGTTTTACTCAGAAGGCTTATCTGCAGCAACATGAACGGACTCACACTGGGGAAAAGCCCTATAAGTGCCTGGAGTGTGGACAGAGCTACCCTCATAGTTCAACGCTACGTTCGCATCAAAGAATTCACACTGGGGAGAAACCCTATACATGCTTGGAGTGTGGACAGAGCTTCACTTTTAATTCAGGTCTACGTGCGCATCAAAAGACGCACACTGGGGAGAAACCCCATAAATGCTTGGAGTGTGGACAGAGCTTCTGTCGGAGTTCATCTCTACGTTCACATCAAAGAACTCACACTGGGGAGAAGCCCTATACATGCCTGGAGTGTGGACAGAGCTTCACTCAGAGTTCAAATCTACGTTCGCATCAAAGGACTCACACTGGAGAGAAACCCTATAAATGCCTGGAGTGTGGACAGAGCTTCAGTGAGAATGGAAGTCTACGCGTGCATCAGAGGACTCACACTGGGGAGAAACCCTATAAATGCTTGGAATGTGGACAGAGCTTCAGTAAGAATGGAAGTCTACGTGTGCATCAGAGGACTCACACTGGGGAGAAACCCTATAAATGCTTGAAATGTGGACGGAGCTTCAGTTACAATGGAAGTCTACGTGTGCATCAGAGGACTCACACTGGAGAGAAACCCTATAAATGCCCTGAGTGTGGACAGAGCTTCACTCAGAATTCACATTTACAGAGTCATCAAAGGATTCACACTGGAGAGAAACCCTATAAATGCTTGGAGTGTGGACACAGCTTCGTTAATAGTTCACATCTACATTCGCATCAAAGGACTCACACTGGGGAAAAACCCTATAAGTGCCTGGAGTGTGGACAGAGCTTCACTCGTATATCAGGTCTACGTTTGCATCAAAGGACTCACAGGGGGGAGAAACGCTATAAATGCTTGGTGTGTGGAAAGATCTTCACTCAGAATTCACATCTACATTTGCATCAAAGGACACACACTGGGGAGAAACCCTATACATGCCTGGAATGTGGAAAGAGCTTCATTGATAATGGGAAGTTACGTTTGCATCAAAGGACTCACACTGGGGAGAAACCCTATACATGCCTGGAATGCGGAAAGAGCTTCATTGATAATGCAAAGTTACGTTTGCATCAAAGGACTCACACTGGGGAGAAACCCTATACATGCCTGGAATGCGGAAAGAGCTTCATTGATAATGGAAAGTTACGTTTGCATCAAAGGACTCACACTGGGGAGAAACCCTATACATGCTTGGAGTGTGGAAAGAACTTCTCTTATAATTCAAGTCTACGTTCACATCGAATGACTCATACTGGGGAGAAACCCTATAAATGCTTGGAGTGTGGACACAGCTTCACTCAGATTGGAAATCTACGTGTGCATCAAAGGACCCACACTAGGGAGAAACTCTAGAAATGCATGGTGTGTGGGAAGAGCTTCTCTGAGAGTTCAAATCTACATAGGCATAGAATTCACATTGGAAAGAACAGTAGTATTTGACCCCAGAGAGACTCCCGAAAACTGAGCTTTCCAAACTTTTCATGTTGATGACTTTTTAGACATGCATCCTTTCACAACATGGTAATTCAGTTCAACTAGTAACCAGAGGTTAAACCAACCCCTTATAAGATTTTGAATATAAATATAATGTAATATAGATAAATTTGTCTTATATACTAACTACTACATAAAAAGTCTTATATCTTTTCATAATCACTAATAGACTTACTTTTATTCCAGCCAAACCTTAACTTATATCCTTCTAGGTAGAGTTAAACTCGATTAACCCACTCTTATAGCCAGCTGAAGCCTAACACTTCATATTAATAACTAATGTCTGGCAGCGCTAAGCCCTCCCTCCCCTTTGACATCTATTAGGTTTTTGTAAGCAATGCTAGCTTTTCTTCCATTCCATATAAATTTAGTTAAAACCTTCCTCCAAAGTTTGAAAATTCTCACTCCTTTAAATATTGGTAGATTTTTGGAATAAAAACAGCATTTTGAATAAGATTATCATTTTTATCACCGCTATATTCCCCACCCAAGTTAATTGAATTCTTTGCCATCTTTCCAAATTTTCTTTAATCTCCTTCCATGTTTTTTCATAATTATTTTGAAAGAAGTTATTTTTGTTGGTTAGCCATAATCCTAGACATGTTACTTGCGAGGCTACCTTACCAGCTGATAAATTCTCTATCAATATTGCTTTTTGACAGAATTTTTAGTGAAGAAGATGGAATTCTCTTTATTCATTTTTAATCTTGCTACATTGCCATACTCATTAATCATTTCCATCAAGCTTTGAATACTTTTCAGTGACTCTTCTATAATGCATAACATATCATCAGCATATGCTTTAACTTTGAATTCTTGTCCTTGTATTTTCACTCCTTTAATACAGCTGTCTTCCTAGTATTTAATATTTCTAACATCCACATGATAGACAAGGATGACAAAGGGCATATGGATTTTTGCCTATATGTCGGTTGCATGGCTCCAAGTTTGAATTTTATTTTTATACTTTAATTATTAAATACACAAGTTTTCCAGAAAGTAAGGTTACAAGACATGTAGCTCTTATGGGGTATTTTCGTGGGAGAAGTTGGTAGCACTGCTGTGTAATGTGAAGCAAGTGGAAGCAAACAAGCAGTACCAGTCGTCAGTAGCTCATCGACTACTGTGGTCATCACTAATAGTCAACACGGATTTATCAAAAACAAGTCATGCCAAACTCAGCTGATCTCTTCTTTCGAAAGAGTTACAGCTGGGTAGATGCTCTATTCTGCCTTGGTTAGACCACACCTGGAATACTGTGTCCAATTCTGGGCACCACAATTGAAGAGAGATATTGACAAGCTGGAATATGACTGGAGGAGGGCAACTATAATGATCAAGGGTCTGGAGAACAAGCCCGTAATGAAGAGCGTCTTAAAGAGCTGGGCATGTTTATCCTGCAAAAGAGAAGACTGAGGAGACATGATAGCCATGTATAAATATGTGAGGGGAAGTCACAGGGAGGAGGGAGCAAACTTGTTTTCTGCTGCCCTGGAGACTTGGATGCGGAGCAATGGCTTCAAACTACAAGAAAGGAGATTCCACCTGAACATTAGGAAGACTTCCTAACTGTGAGAGCTGTTCACAAGAGGAACCCTTACCCCGAAGTGTGGTGGAGGCTCCTTCTATAGAGGCTTTTAAACAGAGATTGGATGGCCATCTGTTGGGGGTGCTTCAAACGCGATTGTCCTGCTTCTTGGCAAGGGATTGGACTGGATGGCCCACGAGGTTTCTTCCAACTCTATGATTCTATGACTGGCATTGTGGTGAAGGTGAAAAGTGAGCGTCCTTATTCTGTTTCCCTCCAAGTGCAAAGTTCGCACTGTACGAGGAACATCCAGAAAGTCACGTTACAAGATTTTTTAAAATACAAAGAATGAATATGTTTGAATAAAACTTACGTGGATTATAGCATAGGTGTTAGATTATTTTTCCACAGGATCACCATTCAGTTCAATACATTTTGTCATCTGTGATGTCTTGGGCTTTTCCATTTGTGCTCAGTTTTAGGGGTGGAGCTTAAAACTCCCTATAGGCCTGGCTCTGTTGGTTTAGCCTTTTTGCCTCAGAGCTTGTCTGAAAGGGTTTTCCCTTCTTATTCTGGGTTAGAGCTTTAGAGAAGAAAGCCAAAATTGTCTGGGTTTCTTGGCCTGGCAATCTAAACAGGCATTCTATAGCACGTATATACCTCATCATAGTTGTGTATTTACCAAATAGTCAACATAGTCTAGTACTTACCACTATAGCCCAGAGTGCTTTACCGATATAGCTTTGTACATGCCATCATCATAGCTTGTACTATACCATTAGCATAAATAGTATTTACCAACATAGCTGTGTATATATCATATAGCTTAGTATTTACCAAGAGTATTTACAAAATAGTCATTTTAGCTTGTATTTCTATCATATAGTTATCATAGTTCTGTACTTTACCATTTTAGTCCAATATTTTACTTTCAATAGCCAAGTATTTTACCAAATGACTTACCACAATTATAGTCAAGTATTTTACCTCATGTTGTGCAAATATAGTCAAGTGTTCATTTCCAGTGTAACCAGATTCAAGCAACAAACTTTGTCTTTGTAATATTTTATTTTGATTCGCCTTTCAAGAACTCTGACTGAAGTTAATTTTGCCTTTTGTTTCAGTAAACTTATTTGGTTATCTTTACTCCTGTCTCAAGAGTCTTTATTTTAAAGAACTGAAGTACTTCAGAGGGTATACTGATAGCCACCGGGAATAGCCAGACTTATAGTTTTCCTTTTACACCTGACGTGCCATCACAGTGCGATAGACCTCTTCAGCCTTGCCGAATGGATTGCCAATAGAAAGTTAAAGTAAAAGCCTGCTCCCTGTGAAGGGTGTGGGAGAGAGAAAGGCCCTGCTTACACAGTGCTGCGGTCCTGCTTGGCCCTGCCATTTTGGGGTCACTTATAGAAAAATAAAGAGATAGCCTGCTCCCTGTGAGGGTGTGGGAGAGAGAAAGGCACAGCTTCTGTAGTGCTGTGTTCCAGTTCGGCCCTGCCGACTAGATTGCTTATTGAGAGAGAAAAAGATAGGGCCTGCTCCCTGAAGTTTATGAGGGAGAGAAAGGGGCAGTTTCCAAAGGGAAAAATACCCGCCTGCCTGCCCTTTAAAGACACTAGAAGCTTGCCCCCTGTGAGGGGTGTGTGAGAGGGTGAAAAGGGCTAGGCTCGCAACTGCTATTTGGCTGTTTTGGTGCCAAAAAGGGGTTCATAGTTTTGGCAGCCATTTTGTGATCATTTTTTAAAGCCTCTTTTATAAAAGCATCATAGTTGTGGCAACCATATTGTCTCCTTAAAGAAGCGGCGGCTATACTGTCTTCATCAGAGTTGTGGCTGCCATATATTGTCTCCTCAAAAGAAGTGGTGGCCATTTTGCCTTCACCAATCTATATAGATTTCAATGGGATTAGTGCTTATAGTTTAAAAGGAGCGTGCGCACACAGGGCAAACCCAATAATCTTCTGGCCTTTTGTCACCAATTTATGTAACACGCTGCCACCAAAATAAAATAATATTCTGAGGTGTTTTGAATCAGGCTACCACCAAAACAAAAGGCATTTAGTTTTCTTGTTTGGCCAAATGTAAGTTAGCTGGATGGTGCTGAATTCACACTCAGGGCGCAGGACACTGAGGTGATTAATATTGGGATTCTTTTAAGTAGATTGCTGCCACCAATCTGGAAACTCTGTTTCCCTAGCTTGTTAAGAATACTTCTTCACACTGAGACAGTTGTTTGTTAATAAAGAAAAAAAATGTTTATTTGCGAGATTTTCAAAAACACAGGCACTTAAGCGTAATGGTTGCAAGAACGAGATGAAGCTTATTTGGTTACTTAAAACAGTTCAGTACTTGGTTTCCACTAACAACTTGGAACTCCCTCAGGAAAACTAGCAGACTTCCTCCTGACTAGAATCCTATTGCTTCAAACAGTCCTTTTCCTGGGATCTGTTTCTATTCAGTATACCAGCTATTCTTCCCTAATAGCTCTCTGAATACTCTAATCTAATTCTTCGGCTTCACTGACTTTATTTATTTATTTATTTTGCGTATTTCTACCCCGCCCTTCTCAACCCCCGAGGGGGGGCTCAAGGCAGCTTACAAAAGGCACAATTCGATGCCTACACAATAATACAGACAAACATATATAAACAGCAATTAAACAGTTATAACAGTTAAAACAATCAATTATATATCACAGTCAATAAAACCAATCTCAAGCTCAACGTTGGCCAACTCAGAGTCCATAAGTTCATTCATTCCACATTGTCCATTCCTATCAGTTGTCGTCGTCCTTTTATTTATCTGCCAGATTACCCAAACGCCTGGTCCCAAATCCATGTTTTTAATTTCCTTCTAAAGGAAAGGAGGGCGTCGCTGATCTAATTTCCCCGGGGAGTGAATTCCACAGGTGAGGGGCCACCACCACCGAGAATTATTTATTTATTTATTTATTTACATCGCTTATATCCCGCCCATATCAGCCCGCAGGCGACTCAGGGTGGTCTACATATCGGCACAATTCGATGCCATCAATACAATACAACAGCAAAACAATTAAGTGCATTTAGACAAAAAAGACAAAAAAGACAGTGCAATAACAATTTAAAAAGAGCTATATCCTCTCAATCCAATCCTCATCCGTTTCATCGTCTTGGCCGTTCCTGGGTCATTCTCCATCTCAAGCTTGACTATCTATTCCGGGGTTCCGAATGCTTGCTTGAAGAGCCAGGTTTTTACTCTCTTCCGAAAAGTCAGGAGGGAGGGGGTTGATCTAATATCCCTAGGCAGGGAGTTCCACAGCCGAGGGGCCACCACAGAGAAGGCCCTGTCCCTCGTTCCCGCCAATCTCACTTGTGATAGAGGCGGGGCCGAGAGCAGGGCCTCCCCAGAAGATCTTAAACTCCGAGGCGGGACATAGAGGGAGATGCATTCAGACAGATACGCTGGGCCAGAACCATATAGGGTTTTATAGGTCAAAACCAGCAGTTTGAATTGTGCTCGGAACTGGATCGGCAGTCAGTGGAGATGACATAAGAGAGGGGTGGTATGCTCCCTGTATGACGCTCCGGTGAGTAATCTGGCTGCCGCCCGCTGGACTAATTGAAGTTTCCGAACAGTCTTCAAAGGCAACCCCACGTAGAGTGCGTTGCAGTAATCTATTTGGGATGTAACAAGAGCGTGGACCACTGTGACCAGATCAGACT